AACGACCGAACATTTTCCTCAACTGTGGAAAATATTCATTTTGACATTTCAGTTTCATTGAAAAACTCAAAACCACAAACTTGTGTGTATTTTATTATTATGAGGTGTCATAAGCAGATTTCAAACTCATTTTCTCTCTAAGGTAATGACAATGCTTCAGTTTTCCAGCAAAATATTAAAAATGCCATTGAGGTTTTTCTATATTTCACACTTTTTGGCAATTGCTATTTTATGATGACAATTGCTATTTTATGGAAATGACCTACACTTAAAATAGGTTATAAGAAGGGAAGTATAAACCCAGTAAATAATGAGTATCAAAATCGATTTAAGAGAGGCTATATTTTCTCAATTCTCTGGGACACAACTTTATACTATAATCTCTAAAAACTATTATTATTTTTTTTAATCCGCATTACTTAACCCATATCCCTTTATAAGTATTCATATTTGAGTAATTGAAGGCATTTGGCGTTTGGCGCCCAATATTACTATCTCCCACCTTTAATATTTACTAATTGAGTATTGTTCCTTATATTGTGAATTGTGTAGAAAAGAGTAAATAGGTGACTGTGGGACTGAGTGGTTCTTATTTTTTCTAGTGGGATTTGGTTTAACATCATCTATGTAACTGCAGTGTGAAATAAAAACCAGATAAATCCAATATCGCATGGCAAATTTCTCACTTTTATAGCATATCATTGGCAAATGCTTCTTCTAGGTGTTCTACAAAAGAAAAGTGGGTGGTGGGTAGATTTTGTTTTTCGGCTCTTGCTTGCATTTTCGGTGGCATAATCTTTATGAGCATATTTATGCCTTGATGATAATGATGATATGAAAAAGCTTACGTTGGATTGTGTTTCGTTGGGGATATTGGTTGTTTTTTGTTGATTGTTTTTAAAGCATATTTTTAGTATAGCTATTAAACGCAGCAAATAAAGTCTATTTTTAGGCGACTTTTTTTTTAATAATAAATACAGAATTTATGTTATTTTGATTTCCTAGTTTGTTTGAAGAGTAACCAGACAACTTGATTATGGGAAGGGTAAACTTTTGTATGGTATACATTAGGTATACAAATTTCTTTTGTTCAGAGACTCACAATGAAATTTGACTTAGAATAATTCTTACTTTGACATTTTTTCCAAAAATTGAAGTATAAAGGGAGATTTTGACTCGGATTGGATATGTGTTAAATTAACAGCATACAAAAGCAAAGACATAATTTTCACTTTAAGTACATACATTTTGAGTGTATTTTCATCAAAACTATTACAACTAGACATATGGTTTATTCTGGGATTTATAATGAAATGTTGTCTTGAATATATCTTCTTTTACCACCTTTCACCTAAAACAAAATTTTTTAAATCTTTCAGTAGTTAAATCGAAAAAAGTCGGGAAAATTTATCAAAAAAAAAAAAAAATTAAAATTTTCAGAAATAAACTATGTTTTTTTATTATCAAAATTTGATGCCATTTTTTATGGTACATTTTAGGTATACAAGTTTCTTTTGTTCAGAATATCGCCATGAAATTTGATCTAGAATAATTCATTCTTTGACACTTTTCCAAAAAAAAAAATGAAGTTTAAAGGGAAATTTTGACTCGGAGTGGATACGTGTTAGAAAAAAGCAAAGACATAATTTTTCACTTTTAGTGCATACGTTTTGAATGTAATTTTCATCAAAACTATTACAACTAGACATATGGTTTATTCTGAAATTTATAATGAAATTCTGTGAAGAATATTTTTGCTTTGAACATCTTTTGCCTAAAACGAAATTTTATGTTATTTTTAGACGTCAACTCGAAAAAACTTCAAGGAAAATTTAGAAAAAATGATAAATAATTTCTGTTTCTCTTTTTTTGGAACATTGATGCAAATATTTATTTTGATTTACAGTGGAAATAGAGATTTCTTTTTGTCGGTGATTTATAGTAAAATATGATGAAGAATTTTTTTGCCTTTGACGTCATCTGTCTATAATGATGATTTTTGGGAGATTTTTGCACAAACTCATACAAGTACGGCTATAACCTTAAAATGTGTTTTTAATAATTTTCACTTTTAGTACATAAGTTTTGAATGTATTTTTCATCAAAACTATTGTACCTACATATATGGTTTATTCCGAGATTTATAGTGAAATTCTGTGAAGAATATTTTTTCTTTTAATACCTTTCGCCTAAAACGAAATTTTATGTTGTTTTGAGACGTCAATTCGTAAAAATGTTCAAGGAAAATTTTATCAAACAAAAATTTGGGAATATTTTTTTGTGAAATATTGATGCAAATATTTTTTTGATATACAATGGAAATTGAGTTTTCTTTTCCTCTGTGACTTATGATGAAGAATATTTTTGTCTTTGACGTCATCCTTCTAAAGTGATGATTTGTTGGAGATTTTTGCACAAACTCACATAAAGTACTGATTTAACCTTAAAATGTGTTTTTAATAATTTCCACATTTTGAATGTATTTTTCATGAAAACTATTGTATATAGATATATGGTTCATTCTGAGATTTGCAGTGAAATGTTGAGTAGAATATTCCTTCTTTGTACAACTTCCACCTAAAACGAAATATTTAGCAACTTTCAGGTATCAAATCGGAAAAAGTCCAAGGAAAATTTTTTCAAAAAACATTTTCGGTATTTTTTGGAAACATTGATGTAAATATCTTTTGATATGTATTCGATATATGCCACATTGGGCGCCATTTGGTCAAACATATGAATTATCCACGTTATATTTTTAATATAAGGCTTTTCATGGCAGGATCTGTACTTTTTTCTGAATATTTTTCACAAAAGCATCATACCGCACGTTGGGCGCCATTGATGGGAAAATTCAAAGTAGTTTTCAATTGGACCATAGCTAACTCTGTATTTTTGGCATAGAATGGACATATGGCACATTGGATTCCAGTGCCAAAGCGTTTTCTGCCTCCAGAGGTTCGTTTCACACTGGGCGCCATTTCGTAAACGTTTGAAGTATTTTCGTTAAATTTATAATATAAGATTTTATGGCATGGTCTTACATGAGGCAATACAAACCTTTTTATTATTTCCAAAAAAAAAAAAAAAAAAAAAAAAAAAAATATGCCGCACATTGGGCGCCATTGTTGGGAATATTCAAAGTAGTTTTCAATTTCTTTAAAACTATATTGGATTATAGGAAACTCTGTATTTTTGGCATAGGATGGACATATTGCAAATTGGGTGCCATTTGTAAAGCGTTTTCTGCCTTAAGAAGACCTGCCCCAAATTGGGCGCCATTCGAATTATCCGCGTAAAAATTTATTATGTAAGATTTAAGGCATGGTCCGAAGTTTTTCTAAATATTTCTCCACAAAAAAAAACTCTTCATTTTTGGCATGGAATGTGCATATTGTAGAAATGGGCATATATTTCTAAAGCCCTTTCTGCCTCCAGAAAACCTAACCCACATTGGAAGCCATTTCGTCATACATCAAGAAATATCAACGTTAAATTTATTACGTACTATTTTATGGCAGAGTGTGCAATGAGATGTAACTAAAGTTTTTTGTATTTTAGAAAAATCATGCCGCACTTTGGGAGCCATTGTTGAGAATATTCAAGAATTCGTTTATTGTGGTATAGTTCATGGCGAAATTTTTTATTTTTGGCCTAGATCCAAACGATTTTTTATTTATTTCTCTCCATTGGAAATATTGCACGTTTGACATAGAATGGGCATATTCTGATTGCAAGAGTCTTATAAAAAGATCTCTAAAAGTCCCGTAAAACACATATTTTCTAATGAAGGCCTGTAGAAGATTTTCTGGGTTTATAAGACTTTACAAAATTTATCTGTCTTCAGATGACCTTCAAATTGTATTTTGTTTCTTAAAGTGCTGGATAGACCTGTCCACATTGGGCCCCCTTTCCAAAGACATTTAGATTTTCTGTGGCATATAATGAGCACATTGCACATTGGGTACAATATCTATAGCGTTTTCTGCTTCCGGAGAACCTGCCCCACATTGAGCACGATTTCGTCAAATATTTGGAACATCCACATTTTATAATATACGAGTTTATGGTATGGTCTGAAATAGGGGTTTTTCAAAAAAAAAAAAAAAAAAAAAAAAAAAAATGCCACACATTGGGCGCCATTACTGAGGAAATTCAAAGTAGTTTTCAATTTCTTTAAAACTAAGTTGGACCATAGGTAACTCTGTATTTTTGGCATATTGCACACTGGGTCCCATTTGTAAAGCATTTTCTGCCTCAAGAGGACCTGCTCCACATTGGGCGACATTTCGTCAAACAAATTACATTTATAATTTACAATTTTATGACATGGCCTGAAACAAGATTAAACTAAAGTTTTTTTTTTTTTCAAAAAATCATGCCACCATTGGGCGCCATTGCTGTGAATAAGCAATAAACAATTTATTCTGGCATAGTTTCTGGCGCAGTGATTTCTTTTTGGTCTAAAGCCAAAAGTTTTTTAAATAGTTTTGTCCTGCTTTGAAAATTTGTGTAATTGCAGGTATACATTGGGGCTTAAATTAAATTATGCACTAATTGTTGCATAGTTTAGGCGCAATATTTATTCGAAAAACTGGGCGTATACCATAATTTTTTGAGTTTCTATTGGAAATGTTCTCTGATATTACAAATATTTAAGTTAAGAATGATTTTATAAAGTTACCATCCTCAGTTTTTTTCATTTCCATAATCAAGTTGTTGTTAATTCATTTCTCATATTTATAAATTATAGATTATAATTCAAGACACATACATATCATACAATAAATATAACTCACTTCGTTTTGAGACATCATACATTATTTACACTAAATATTTATTAATTATTTATTAATATTTTTTTTATTTATACATAAGTACTTACTAAGTTCGTTTGCTAAGTTTTAAAATGTACCCATGTAAATATTGTCTTGTTTTATTTTTTTGTAATGTACCTTGTTTGGCTGACGCTTGCATTAATGGAAATCGAAAAAACTTACCCAATAGTGGCACCGCATCTGATGTAGCCGGCATTGTCTCGGCCACCATGTTAAGGAACACAGTAAGTGATAGTAAAATCGTTACTCCTGTTTTCGGTGCCAGCAGAAGTGTAATCGAGGTTTGAATATTCGAATATTTGGTTTGAGGTTGGTCAATCAATTGGTAGGTGGGTTTGTTGCAGTCCAGTTGAATTCCAGAAGAGAATTTTGTAACGTTTTTTGGTTTTTTGTTTTTCGTTTTTTTCGTTTTTTTGAACGTTGAACGTAAAAGAACACAAAAGAACATTAATTAAAATCAAAGGAAATCATGGTGAAACAAACAATTGCAAAATGATAATAAATGTGCCCAGGCTAAGGCAATTAATTGGTTGATTAATCGCTAAACAGATCGCACTTGGTGATCTGGTCTGTTGGTATGTAAAGATCATCATCATAGACCACTACTTATCTTTACACAAAGTTTGTTATTTGACTTTTTTTGGCTAAATGAAACACTTCATGTTGTCTTTGTTTTTGTTGCTTTTGTACTGGGTTGTCGGTTGTGCTCTTGTTCTTGTTGTTATTCTTGTATGGTAAATTTTTGGTTTGGCCAAAATTGTATCCTCCAAAGAACAAGGTATTCGTTTTGTTTTTGTGATTTTTGTGTGGAACGGGACAAGTACACATATGTAGTATTTCATTGTTGTGATTTTATTTTCAATTCTTTTCTTTTTTAATTTTTTTTGCTTTTGCTTCGGGGGGTCAAATAAAAAACTACTACCATATTCTCTGCGCTGAACCTCACAGTGTGACTTGTGAGTGGGTGCTCAGTCGTTATTCGGCGGTCTTGCCGTCAGTCTTAGAGTCAGCTGGTCAGTTAGTTCGTCTGTGGCGTCAGTCATCTAGTGGGTGGTGGCTAGGTAGGTCGGTCTGTGGTTAAGTCATAATCATGATCAGCTGGTCAGACATTGTGTTTTGTGGTCCCTAACCGCGTTTATGTTTCCAACATTGCTGTCCTTGTGTGTCCTAATCATTTATCTTCTGGCAAAAAGTCATAAATGTGTGATTGTGGGTGTGTGTGTGTAAAGATACAGGCTGAACCGGAAGTGTGTGTACAAATAACCAGGGAAATAAAAAATTGGATCTATTTTAGGAGATATTCTATGTACGAAAGTCCTTAATAAGGGTCTCTCCCGACAGAGGGCGGAAGAGGGTCTTCTTGACTTGTAATTCATATCCAAAAAGCCTTTCGGAGTTCAACAAAAGAACTTTGGAAGGATTCCTATCAAGAGAATTACCTTGGAAGTTCGTTTTTAGCAAAGATCCCTTGCAAGGTCTCTTCGAACTTTCTGATCAACCTGTTTCCCCTGGACCTTTAGAAGGTCATCTCTCCTTAGAAGACTTTGTGAAGACTCTGTCGTGCTTTTGAAGATCATTTGAAGGCCTTCTGTCTAAATCTAAATGTACAAGAGTTCTGTCCCCTCACAAGGAGAATCCCTTTAGAAAGCATTCAAGCCCAAAAGCATTCAAGCCTCTATCAATAGATTGTCTTGTTTGTCGAGTAGACCTTTAAAATATCCTCTTTTCCATTGAGAGAAATTCTTTAGCAGGATTTCCGTTGATAAATATTTTTAGAAGTTCTTCTATCACGATAAGATCTTTGTGATATCGTCAAAGGATCAAGGTCTTTCATTGACCATTGGAAAGTTTCTATCGGGAAAAGACTCTTGGGAGGGCTCTCATCAAAAAAAAGTGCATTGAAGGCCTTTCTATAAAGAGAAGATCATTGGAATGCCAGCATCAGAAGAACTCTGGAAGGTTGCTAGTTAAAGAAGATTCTCTATCAATCAACACCTATGGAAAATATTCTTCGTTTAAAAGACCTTTAGTAGGTTTTCTATTATATGTAGAGAAGATTTTTAGCAGGTTTTCCATCGAGAATAGTCTTCAGAAGGTCTCTATCATGATAAAGTCTTTGTAATATCATAAAAGGATCTTCGCAAGGAATTCGTCCAATAGAAAAACTTTGGAAGGTAGAAAATCCATTGGAACGATTTCTATCAGGAAAAAGTACTCTTGGGAGGGCTTTCATCAGGGAAGATCATTGAAATGTCAGTATTATAGGAACTGTGGAAGATTATCGATTAAGGGAAGGCCTTTAGAAGGTCATCTATCAATAGATAACTTTAGCGAATAGACCTTCAAACTTTCTTCTCTAGAAGAAAATTTACGAGACGTCTACTGACTTCAGAAGATCTGCCCCTTATTTGGAATATTCACGTTAAATTTATAATACACGATTTTATGGTATGACCAGAATTGATGTAGTTCTAAATATTTAATTTTTACGGGAAGAAATATGTTCAATTTTGGGCGCCATTTAAAAGAATATTATTAGATCATAGCTAACTCTCCATTTTTAAAGTATTTTCTGCCTACAGAAGACTTTTTCTGTTTCCAGAAGACTTCTTTTCCTTTTCTAGAAGACTTAGACTTAGTTGTCTTCTATCTCCCAAAGACTTTCCACTATATTAGGTCTTCGTTTGCGATTAGACCTTTAGAAGGTCTTCTGTTCTCTCTAGAGAAGAACTTTAGCAGGTTTTCCCTCGAGGAAATGACTTCTGCTCTGTTAGACCTTTAAATCGTCTTCTGTCCTTATAAAATTTTAAAAGATAAGAAAAGACCTGAATAAATTTCTGTCTCCAGAAATGTAGCAAAATGTTTTCTATATCCAGAAGACTAACAAGGGGTCTTCTACTTCTAGAAGGTATTAAAAAAGAAAAAAAATCTCGAAAAGGTTTCATATTTCTTGAAAAGCCTTACAAGGACTCTTCCTCTCTGAAAGGAATTTATATGGGCGTTTGTCTCAGCATCACGCTGAAAATGAAAATAAAAATCCGTAAAAATGTATTGCTTATCCATAACACCTTCAAAAGGTTTTCTAACTATTGAAGATCTTTTAACTCCTGTGGATATGTTCCTAATATGTGCACATAATCCTTTTTCTGTAAGACTTTGAAAAGGCCTTCTGTTTTTAAAAAGAAGTTCGCCTGTCTCTAGTAGACCTGAAATATGTTTTTGTTTCTAGGAGACCTGTATTGTCTGAAATGTCTATTGAAATGTATTTTATCGGAAGAAGGTCTGTAAAAGCTTTTCTGTCTCCTAAAATACATTTGAAAGCTCGTGCGTATCTATCACAGCTTTTCCTTCTGCAAAAGACAAATAAAAAAGTCATTTGATTCTAACAAAAATTGTAGAAATTCTAACTTTTCCCGAAGCTCTGTAAAAGACCTCTGTCTCCAAAGGACCTAAGAAGTGTCTTCTATCTCAAGATAACCAGGAGATCTTCTGGAGAACTTCACAAGGTTTCTTGTTTGTAAATGAACTGGAAAGATTTTTCTGCCTTCAGAAGATCTTTTAAAGATGTACTGTCTGTATAGATGGCCTGTGAAAATTTGTTTGTCTCCAGAAGACGCCAGAAAGTCCAAATGTTACCGGAAAATATGTAAACTCCTTCTGTCTGCAGAAGCCTTGTAAAAGGTCTCCAAAAGCCCTGCAAAATATCTGTTATCTATGGAAGACCTGTAGAAGATCTTCTGACTTTGGTTTCTATAAGATAAGATCATCTGCCCCACATTGAGCGCCAATTCCAAAGGCATTTGGAAAGATGTTTGGATCTGGGTATTCAGAGAACCTTCTGTATTCAGAGAACCTGCCTCACATTGGGCGCCATTTTGTCAATCATTTAGCATATCTTCGTAATACAAATGGCATTAAAAAAACAGGCCCCACGTTGGGCGCCATTAATGACTATCGTTAAGAAAGTTCTCAATTTCTTTAAAACCAAATTGGACCATGGGTGATTCTGCATGTTTGGCACAGAATGGTGTTACTGCGCATTAAGCGCCATTTATAAAACGTTTTTTGCTTCTAGAGGACCTGCGTCACCTTTGGTCGCCATTTCGTCACACATTTGAAATAATTATATATGGCTTGGTTCGAAATGAGGTAGTATTAAAATTTTTATTTTTTTTTTCACAACAAAAAATCATGCCGTACATTGGACGCCATTGATGAGAATATTCAAAGTAATATTCAAAGTAATATTCAATTTTTCAGGAACTACATCGCAGAATAGTTAACTCTGCATTTTTGGCATAAAATAGGAATACTGTGAATTTTGCGCCAATGTGAAATACAAAAAAAAAAACTTTAAGTCAACTTATACTTCTGCACATAAAAGTCATGCCGCATATTGGGCGCCACTTGTAAGAAAAAATACAGTTTTTTAAGAACTAACATTCACTATTGCGGCTAATTTTATTGCCAGATATTGGGCGCCATTATAGATGACATTCAGACATGTAAACTGGCCTCGGTCTCCAACAGATTTTTAAAAAGTCTTCTATAGCTAGGAGATCTCTTATATGTGTTCTGCCTCCAAGACGCCCGTTGAAAGCCTCTTGCCTTCAGAAAATTTGTAAAATAAAATATTTTCTGATTATTAAAAATAGTTTTTTTTTATGTTTCTGGAAAACTTTGTTCGCAAGTGCCTTGTCACTAGAAATTCCACCTGAAAACCTTTTGTTTTCATTATTTGGAAACGCTTTCGGTTCAGCCTGTAATTTATGTCACAATCTCCTAACTTGACAATATCCATTTCGTCCCTCTATTGTTTAGTTGTTTTTTTTTCGCTATGAGTTTTGATTTGTGGGCGGTTTGTCTTTTTTTTGGTCGTTGTTGTTGTTGTTGTTACACATAACTATTTTTAATTGTCTTCTACGGGCAAACTACATGTTTATATGTCAGTGTGTGTGTATGAGTATGCGTTTGGTTGAGTTGGTAATATATATTCCATTTGTTGTCAAGGTGTACATGTTTTTTGTGTTCGCAGTGTATATTTTTTTGGGCATGACAGGTGTGTATGTGTGTGTGTGATATTTTTTGAATTTAGTGGTTGTGTCAATCAAAAGTCATAATGGAAAACTAAACTGTCAGCTGGATGTCGTTGCAAGCGGTTTGTTTTGCTCGCTCGCTTGTCTGTTTTTTTTTTCTGTTTGTTTGGCTGTTTTTTTGGACTCGTCGTTACTTTGACTGGAAGACGAATA